GGTTTTTAGGGTCCAACCGGTTTGGGCCTGATCCAGCCCAGGGTTTTCAAAACCCTAACATATCAAGTCAACCAGTCAACGGCGCCGCACAGGGGGAGCCAAACAGTCAAGGGGCGAAACGAACGGTCGAGATCCCGGGACTAACCCATCCTTGGATGACCGGTCAACCACGAACAGAACGACCCCGAAATATCCATGATCGACCCCAGACATACTCGAAAATGGCCCAACGGGAGCCTATAAATATCAACATCGGAGAACACATCAGGGGACAGAACACAGTAAACCAGGAACAATAGTGAGAGCAATCGAAAACATAGAACAAAAAGGGCCACAAAACCAACATCGATCATCACACAAACCACAACAACAGTGAAACAACAACCAACACCGAGAGTCATCGACAATCACAGTACCAAAACCACCATAACCACATACCAAACACAAAAGACAACAAAAAAATAGTAAGAAACAATGCGCGTCAGAAGTATCGAAAAAACGAACGATTTTCCATGAAAAGGTAAAAAAGGTAGAAGCTTTTTCTTAGATCTACATTGAGGGGGCCCGATTTTGAGTGATCGGGGTTTGGATCTGGGTTTAGGGTGTTAAGGGGAGTGTTGGGGTGCATTTTTGTTTTTTATACTATCCGGTGGCGGGCGGTGGTGGCCGGAGCAGCGGACAGTGGCGGCCGGCGGTGGCTGACCATCCCCCGACGAGGGGAAGTTGGTATTTATAGTACCCCTTAGACTGACCCGCACGCGACCCGACCCGACTTAGGGTTCGTGTGTTTTCAAATTAGGGGGAATTGTGTTTTAGTCCTCAGCCTTTTGTAATGTTTTATTTTAATCATTTAATAAATTCCATTTTATTTTATTTCGAGCATGTATATTTCAATATTGATATTTTGGTCACTAATGTGAATCAATTTCCTTTTTTTTTATTCTTTTTTTTCAAAATTTAACCTTTTTATTTATTTTTATCTCTATTTTTTATTTTTTTATGTTTTCTATTCTATTCTATTCTTTTATTTTTATTATTATTTTTACTTAATTTCACTTATCTTTATTCATCTATTTTTTTGTTATATTAATATTTTTTTATTTATTTTGGTTTTCATATTTATTTAATATTTTTTCATTTTGATTTACATTTATTTTATTTATTTATTTATTTATTTATTTTCCCTTTTTCCTTTTGATTTATTTTATTTTATTTTTTATTATTATTTTTCTATTATTATTATTTTATTTTTCCCTTTTCCCTTTAATTTATTCAATGTTTATTTATTATTTGTTATCTAACATTTTTTACCTTTTTTTAGAGAAATTCCAACCAATCAGAGGTAAGTAATTTGAATCGAGTCTTTAAATTTTAATTTTAATTTTCGTAATTAAAACAGCCGACAAATTAAAACGGTACCGAAAGGGCAGTTCAAGGGTGTTAATCCTTCCTTGACTGTAACCGACTCCCGAACTCGACACATTTATGGTAAAATGCAGATCATGTAAGATGGTGTCTGATCCACCTAAATATTTTTTAAGTGATCGGTGGTGACTCTAACCCAATTCATTCACGTCGAAGTCCAATTTCGGGCCCAACCGAAAGACGGTCGCGACACCAAGCTTCTATATATAGGCCTTAGTTTCAGAATTTTAATTATCTTGGTTTATGAGAATGATCTTGGTTGTAGTTAATATTAGAGAGAAATCGAGTTCTATTGTTTAGTTTTTCTTTACTTTAATTTCTCTTGGTCTTATTATCCTTATGATTTTTTGTTGTTCATGCCTTTTTTAAATCTGTTTTCTTTATGTCTATTATATTTTTCTAAGTTTATATATTAAAGTGAAAAGGAGAAACTCCTTGATACATATCCAGGTTAGTTTAATTTTCTTAACTTAGAATTATCATTTGTTAATATTAGTATATATGTTATATTCATTTGGTTTAAAATCATATTTGCAAAGAATCTTGGACTTATCTATGAATCTTGAAGTCACTAATTTATAACATAAAACCAGATGCTATATTTTGTACTTTGGATTTCATGCTTTTATTGCTAAAAATTTCAATTAAGTGTGGACTTCAATTGAGTAATTAAATGGAAAAAGAATTTAAAGTTAGTACAGTACCAAGAGTTTAAACTTAGTACAGGGCATCAATTAGATCCATCCGTTGTCCACTTCAAGGCATCCCTTTTATTCACATTAATATTTCTAGCATTACTCATCTTTCTTACCTGCACATTATCATTTAGATAATAGCAATATGAAGCATTATATGTAGGGGTGTAAATGAATAGAGCGTTCATGAAACGCTCATATAACATTTGTTTATATTTGTTTGTTAAGCTAAATAAATGAATACGAACATGTTTTTTTATGTTCATTTAACAAAAGATTTATGTTCACAAACAACCTCGTTTATTGACTTGTTCGTTTATATTCATGAACAAACTATACATTTTAAATATTGGTGAAGTTACATACTAAATTGAATATATGATACAATTTGAAGTTTAAACAACAAATCTTCAAAAATTTAAGCACCGGTAGTGTAATTTTACCATTTTACCTATTACAACACCAAAAAAAAATCCCTTTCACTCTTTTTCCCTTTTATTTCAGTCCCTCGTCTAAGTCTCTTTTCCCCTTTTTCATGAAATTTGTCAACCTAAACCTTATTTTGGGACACCTTGCTGTACACCGTCGGTGCATTTGCGCTCCTCGCCTCGTCTAGGTCATTTGCTTATGGCGTAATTTATAGCACTCCAAGCAAAAATTTAAATACATTATGATATTTTCTTTTTGGGATATTTCTTCAATTTCGATCTTTAATTGTTGACTTAAAGTTTGCGTCCTTATTTATACTGCTTATATTTTATTTTTCATCTCTTGATTTTTTTGGTGGAAATTTTTTGTGAATTAATATCTATTTTAGTTATATGATTACACGATCTATGACATGGGGCTTAGGTTAATAGTATTTTAAGGGTTTTATTTTTGGTTAGATTCAAAGGAACCTTGATTTGACTTCTTGTTGGTTGCTTTGAAGACTATCATGAGTTCTAAGGGAGATTTTGTGGTTAGTATCTAATTCTATTTTGTTGGTTAGATTCAAAGGATTTCTCAAGACTATTTTATGACCAATGGAGATTTGGGTAATTAAAATTTTGCTACTAATTGACCGGAAATTATTGACATATATTTAGTAATTTGATTTTATCATGTACAATAAAATTTTTCACTAAATATCGACTATATTTATTTTATGTTATCGTATAAACACAATAAATGAAAATGTTCACAAACATTAAATAAATATGTTCGTGAACACTAAACAAACACTAAATGAACGTATTCACAAACATTTAAACAAACATGTTCACAAATGTTAAGTAAACACATTCACGAACATTAAACGAACAAAACAAACACTTCCAAAAATAAATAAAACATAAACACAATATTAAAAATTTAAACGAACATAAATGCCTTAAAAAATAAACGAACATGAATGCCTTCAAAAATAAACGAACAAACAAAAACACCCTTATTTATTCAAGCTCGATTCATTTACGCCCCCTAATTACATGCCACCCAAAGAATTAAAGGAATCAACTATAACTACCAATTACTTAAAAATGAATTAATTCGTGGCTTTCGAACTTTTCATCTTAAAATGGCTCTGCATACAAACACCATTATATAGTAAATGGTGGCAGTGGGTTGTAGTTTCGTAGCCACAGCACAAAGCAGATGAATAGATTACTAACGAAAGGTTGGCTAATATACCAATATATGATAATGAATTGATTACATATGAAATCTAATATCAGGGTAAGAATTTCATAAACCACAGTACAAAACAGATGACTAAACTCATTTAGAAAAAGTGAGCCTTGGATTCAGGTTTTGCACACTAAGACACTGCACAAAGTAGATCACTGAATTCATTTCCAGGAGCGAGGGAGATGGGAAAAAAAAAGACTAGGAAGACTAAAGAAAACGTTTATTTGTAACATGTGATGCTTTGAAAGAGCATCAGCACATATGCTTCTCAACAAACGAACTTACCTGAAGTTCAGAGATCAAGTGTAGACATCATGTGCCCTAACTTTGCATCACAATTTAAATGTCTTCACTCGTAACAACATTTTACAGACTAGATAATCATGACAACCAAAAGACTGTATTACATATATTATATATGGCTGGTAAATCAAAAGCCAAAATCACCAATCTGAAATCATTCATCATTGTATGGTTAGATTGTACGGAAGGCACTTCAAAAAGCACCAAGGTTTATTATGGGACACTACCCAATCATTCGGTGTGAATCAAAAGGAAGACAACCCAACTACAAACAACTATTGCCTCGTTAGCTGTTAAAGATTATACTCAATCCCCAAAACCTTGACATTAATTTGCCGGGATACGAAAACCCTAGAGAACCCTAAACTTTGACAATAATTAACTGGGATTACAAAAACCTAATATAAAATTGCAGTTAGCGAGTTTCAGGCAGGAATAATAGGCAAAAGCAGATTCAGTAACAAAAAGAAAAGCTGTGGCAATATTAAAATGCCAACTAAATTAAAGACGATACAGAAGAATTTTTAAAATGACTCATCAATCAATTACGAAGATATGTTAGACACAATTCAGATAAGGATACATTTTTGTTATGTTACATGTGGGAGGAGTAAGTAAATTTCAAAATTCACAATTCAGAGCATAAAATAGACAACTGCAAAAACAATAAGCGGTAAATGGAAACAAATCATATCACTTCGAAATCTGTTCTAATTGCAACTTAAAAACATATAAACATCATAAGGAAACTTCACAATCACTAATTGTTAATAGTTTTGGTTGAAAATTATTTGAAGGCTGTATGCTACTTGCTACAATAATAAATGAACCAAAAGAACTTAAGCAAACAGCAATAGAATATTAACATGAACAAGAAGGGCAAGCAACAAAGTCAAAAGAGGGACTAAATCTCTAAAAAAGGATTAACCTATCTTAAGACTTTGAATGTAAAATACATATATCAGCAAATTTCCCATCTACAACTTTTAATTTCAAGACGTCAAAGGAAACAAACAAGATTCAGAGTTACATTTTCCTTAAACGAAATGTTCATTTAAAAGCATTAACATAAGATGATCACACACTATCATGGCCTACTTTCATTAATGCTACCCCCCTGGATCTTCCTAGTCATCATTTTCCTGCATTTCAGAAAAGAAACAGACGCAATTCACTAGAGTTCCAAATAAGCTATAAGATCAGTAACACAAAACTGAAACAAATTGGAAAACTCACAGCTCCACTGCCTTCATCATCCTCTTCTTCATCATCATTCACCTCAGACACAGACTTTTCAGACTCTACTTTATCATCTTTGGGACCCTCAGCCTAATATTAATCCAAAAAGGTTAATTAAATTTATATCACTAAACAAATATCTAATAAAACTTCAAAGTTAACATCAAATTACCTGTCTCTTATTGTAGGCTTTCATGTTCTTTTCATACTCAACCTTTCGCTTCTCTGCCTTCTCAACATATGGTCGTTTTTCCTATAATCACTTGTTTTAAATTAATCAGAATGCATCTTGCATGATTTTAATTAAAAAAATCAATGCTGAAAATATCAAAATACTTACAACTTCCGACAGGCTCTTCCATTTATCTCCACCAGCTTTGCCAACCTGAATTAGAAACCAAACAGAGAAATTAATAAACATAAAACTAAAAGGAAAGGAAGCTGTAAGAAAACACGAATATGATAATTATAGTCCAAACTTACTGCAGCAACGGATTTGTTTTTAGGATGCTCCTTCTTGTATTGCTCGCGGAATTCCTCCCTTGAATCACGAACCAACATTAACAAATTAAATAAAAATATGAATGCAAATCTGCAAAATCATCGAAGATCAACTTTTGCTTTGTCCAAAAGAAAAAATAGTTCAATTCACCTCTTCAATATAATCGCCATAGTTTTGCACGAAGGAAACGCATGAAACCAAATACATTAAAGAAAACAGGGATTCATGAATGATTACATGAATACGAAGAAGGCGCTAGCAGGCCTCTTTGGCTTGTTTGGATCCTTAGCTGCCTTCCCCGATTTCTTTCCAGCCTTCTTGGTTGATTTCTTATTCACGGAGAACCTGTAAGCGAATCAATAAAAACAAAATCAAATGATATGAAACGTAAACCCGCATCATAATCGGACCTCTTAAAAGACGCGATCTGAGGAATCAACAAGAAAAACGACAAAAGAAAAGGGATAAAAGGCTTACTTAGCGGTCATTGTATCCGACTTTGATTTACTTCCCTTCATGTTGAATCCTGCAATTAAAATCGCAAATTAGCAGTGAAATTTATTTCCAAAAAAAGAATTTGTCGAAATTCGTTAAAAACGATAGGTATCGAAGGGGAAAATACCTGGTGGTGAGGTGGGGTTAGGGTTAGAGGAGGGGGGGAAGAGAACAAAAGAGCGATAGAAATAGATAGAGGTGTGTTTTTGAGAATGAGAGGCCGAAACTCGAAAGGGGTTTAGGCGGGATTTGGGATTTCCATGCCACGTCATTTATCCGTGTGCTTTTACCTTATTGGCTGCATATTTCCTACTGTTTTCGGCCTCCCAGTTTCACCTTTGTTAGTGAACCGGTGTGTTTTTGCTTCTTTATCGTGTGGAGAGTACGAATGTTTAAACTCGATTCGATTTTAAAAACTAATATTTTTAATTTGATTTAATGTTAAATTTTTTTTTGAATTTGAATTGATTTGTAATTTAATAAATTTAATTCGATTAAAAAAATAAATTTAATTTAAGATATAAAATATAACTCAAATTTTTTTAATAATTAATAGATTAGTTTTTAAGTTTGAGTCAATCTCTCGACTCTATATGATGTATGTATATCAAATATAAAAGATATAAAGAAATATATATGTATATTTCATATGGTTATAAAAAATAAATTAGAATCAAATAATATCATAATATTATAATTATTTATAATTAACTTCAAAAATTAATTATAACAATTCGATTTGATTTTTTTTTAAAAAAATTGAGTTATAAAATATGATTCGTCAATTAAATTTGAGTTATTAAGTTTCGGGTATCCGGGTCTTCGGGTAGTAGATTGGCCAGCCCGTGTCCCGGCTCAAATGTTGCGGGTACCAATAATCAGGTGCCCGAATTTTATGGGTACCGAAAATCAGGTATTCGGGTATCCGAATTTTTATTATTTTCAAATTATTAATTTGTTTTTAAAAAAAGACACACACAAATTTAAATGTTCGAATTACATACTCCAACATCGAAACATAGAATTTAAAAGTCGTTTTTTTCATGGGAGTTTTTTTAATAGTTTAATTTAATATATAAATTTATTAATAATTAAATATGTAATATTATTATATATAAAAAATAAATGTAATCGGGTACCCGAAAATTTAATTTTGTGAAACATGCCCGATCCATATATGTCGGGTCCCTAAACCCTAAACTCGACCCAAAACTTGAATTTTAGGAAGAAAAAAAAAACTCAATTTTTTTATCAGGTCGAATGAAGTGTTTTTACTTTCTAATCTCTGTTTTTTTCTTGGGCATTGGGCTAAACATGGGAAATGCTACTTCCCGAATCATTGGTTTGAGATGTATCAGGCCTGATCCGGCGTAATTCGATCCCATTCCATTTATTTATTTTGGCTTTTAAGAAAACTACAAATTACATTATTTAATATATATATATATATATAAGATATATAATATTTTGAAATTTGTAAGGATTATGTTTTTATGTGATTTATATATTATAATTATTTTTTACAAATAATTTATATTAATTGTTTTAAAAATATTTAAATTTTATATTTCATATATTAAGACTTTAAATATGATTTAAATTAACTTAGTTTTATTTTCCACTCTCATGCTTAAAATGAATATTGTAATGTTCATATAATTTTTTATAGTGATGTTAAACAATTAAAAATTGGGTTAACTACACGATTGATCACTTCTGTTTATGTTTTGTTCACTTTTCCTCATTGATTTTAGAAAAACATAATATATGGTCACATACGTTATCGTTAAATGGTCACATACGATTGATCACTATACGTTATTGTAATGTTCATATAATTTTTTATAGTGATGTTAAATGGCATTGACGTGACACGTTAGTAAAATAGTTTAATTTTTTTCTTAGTCCCTGAACTTTATATAAAATATTAATTATGGACTTTTTTTTTGTAAAGTCAATGTAGTTTAGGGATAAATTGTCAATTTTCCCCCTTTTTAATGTTTCATCTTTGCTAAAGTTCTATCTCCACCGGCTTCTCGCTTCCGCTGTGCTAGTGTCCACCAGCTTTAAGCTCCACGTTAATGTAATCAGCTCCCATTTCCACGGCTAATTGAAGAACATCTAATCTCTGTTTCTCATCACCGTCATTCATGCCACCTTCCCATAATGGTCTGCAATACAAATTTGCGAGTTAAACAACTTAGAACAAGCTTGAAAGATCCATCAATAGCAGAATTTATAGAAGACTCAAACATGAGTAAAAAGGGAAATCTCATAAAATAAAATAAAATAAGAAAATACCCATACACCGTTATCCATTAAACAAAATCGATCGATAACTTTCATTAGTGGCACCTTTTATGCCAAAATGCACCTATGACTCTTAATGCACATACAATGGGCTTTTAAGTCAAATTCACAAATTTATACATTTATTTTAGCAACATCGATAACCATTGCACAACATCAATATTCATCCATTCATTTTAGAGCAGTTCATACTCTAAAACTTATTCATAATATCATTCCATACACGTTATGAAAATATACCAAAATGCTGTAAGACATACATTTAACAAAACATTCAAGGTTGACTTATCGCGAGTCTTCCTTCTTTCATATAAGTACAATAAATGCACTCACCTGATATGCCTCACTAGTATGCTTTAAGGATGTCCAGCTATTCGACAACTTTATCTTTGCCCTTTTTCTTGCTTGACTCTGGAGCTTAGTTACGATCTATACAAGCATACATTATTACACATACCATACAAATGTTAGTATACTTTCTAACATTTATTCTTTTGATAATACTTAAAAGTACTATTATTTTCAATTTCTATTAAAATTCATCCTATCTTACAATTCTAGGCTTAATAGTATCGGTACCTCTACTATAGTATCGATACTTCTATACTATAGTATCGATACTCCCTTTCAGTATCGATACCATTTTTGCATTCTGGAATCCATAGTATTGATACCTTCATATTAGTATCGATACTATTTGCATCAGTGTCGATATTGTTCATCGTATTTCTTCAAATTTAAACCTATAGTATCGATATTGTTCTTCCAGTACTGATACCCTTACATTTTCATTTTTTATTTTGATTTTTACCCAAATTTCGTTAAATTCTCTGTCTTTTACCTCCAACAATACCCTTAAACTTAACATCACTTAACCCAACTAACTTTCCTCTATTTAGCTTCTCATAACATCTAAAATCTCCAAAGAACATCCCAAACTAAGAACCACACTACTTTTTCATACATGTTTTTAATCACATCCAAGGCTTGTAATCTCTTATTTACTTCTTTAACAAGTCAAATTTACTTGTAAACCTCAATAAAAACTCATATTTCAACATATCACTCAAAAACCAATTTTCTTAAATTTCAAATAATTCACTAATCCCTTAGTTTTAATCATCCTTGAACTTTCCTTAAGTCTCTATATCACTTAAGGTTTCAAAACTAGCCTATAACTAAAGGAAAAACCAACTTAAAAAACTCACCTTTGGTTATGGAGGACTGCACGGGACGAGAAGAAGGAGAAGAGAAGATAACTTAGCTTGTTTTTCAACTTTTCCCCTTTTCCCTCTTCTTAAATACCCCAATAAAAATAAATTTTAAATCCATTTCCCTCTAAAGGACCAAAATGCCCTTTCATTCTTCCATTCTTACTAATTGGTCTTAAACACAATTTATAAATCATTTCTTATACTTTACCAGTTATTCCATTAAATCCTCCAAATTTTAAATCCTTTCATTATGGTAATCCACCCAATATTTGGGGTATTACACATCACATGTAAAATACACACGACTTGAAATAGAATGTATTGAATCAAGTAGCAATTTTTTATGCTTTTCATGCTCCAACATGCAATACTTAGTAACAGTATACCTAGATATATCCTTAACAGAAGAATTAAGGTAATGATGCAAATCCCTAAGTTTTTCATGTCAACAATACTATATGCATAACCATGACACATAATAGCCTCAACAAACAATTCAAAATATTTGTTTTAATTAAAAGAACTTACCAAAGTAGGATTTTCAGCAAGATATTCCTTGTAAGATTGGCATTTCTCAGTATGCTTTCTAGGGTTAGATGTACCAATATAAGAATCAACTTTATATCTTTTAATTTTGCAATACTTACACTCGACATAAACATAACCATCAACATATTTGATGAAGGTGTAATGCTCACAAACAGGATAAGTTCTTCTCCCGAACTCGGCTGAACATGTAGCCTTCATCTTAGAGGATTTATTGACATCAACTGCTTCAGACAATAGATCATTTACATCACCTTGCAAAAAAAAAACTAGGGTTAGTATACAAAATTAAAAATTATATATATATATAAGCATATACAAAAACATGAATGGGTAGTTTACCTCTTTCAAAATATTCTTTATTTTGATCTATTAGGGTTTCTTATACAAAACAAATGAAGAATATAATAATTCTAATATTAAAAAATAAAAAAATAAAAAAGGAATGACACATATCAATATAATTCAACTCGTAAGGCAAACTATCCATGAAACCGTAGAAAAAAATAAAGGTTTTGAATAGTTTATAAGATTCTTAGTTAGATCTAGGGTTACAGAAGATGAACAAAGATAGAGGATGAAGATGATGAACAATATTGGTTAGGATTAGAGAAGATGGTGATGAAGAATAATAAGGGTTAGGGTTAGAGAAGATAAACATAGATAGAAGATGGAGAGACTTAGTTTGGGTTTAGGGTTAATAGATATAAATAGAGATAGAAGATGAAGAGGCTCGGTTTGGATTTAAGGTTAAAGAAGATGAACAAAGACAAAAGATGAAGAGGCTCGATTTGGGTTTGGGGTTAGTAAATATAAATAGAGACAGAAGATGAAGAGGCTAGGTTAAGATTTGGGATTAGAGAAGATGATCAGAGACAGAAAGTGAAGAGGCTCGGTTAGAGTTTGGGTTTGGGTTAGAGAAGATGAATAATTATGGGTTTGATTTTAAAAAAGTTTGGCTTTTGATTTTCAGTGTTTGTAAAAATCAAAGAAGGGTTTTGGGATGAATATGGATGAATTGGTGTTTGGGTTTGGGGTTTGATCGAAAAAAGTTGGTTTTAAGTTTTGGGTGTTTGTAAGGATCAAAGAATGTTTTGGGGAAGAACA